CTGCTGATAACTCACCCCATCACTTCATCCTCCAGTTAGGCTGGCCGCCACTTCTTTGGGGACGGGCGTCATGATTGAGGTACCTCCTTGCATCTGACAGGCAGGTCTAGTCCATGCCTCCCATGACCCCGTCATACCGTGAGTGGCTCCCTCGCGAATCGTTCCTCCCGAGTGGTAAGTTTTATGGATCCGGCCTCTTCCTTCTAAAGAGAGTTGACAGTTTACGAGTGCAATTACAAAAACCTCGCGTTTAGTTCCCAGAACGGTTGTAATGTTCCGTCAGGGTGGTGTCAATGCGCTGTGGTGGTGGCGGACTCCACCTGGTACCTCGCCCCTACCTTCCCCATGGACGGTGCCGCCTGACTTAATGCGAGCAACCTTGGTCCATCCCAAACGGCCAGGCCGCCTCTCAACGGCGTGGCGTGCGGTTGGAGAGCATCATCAAGATTTAGAAGAGCAAACTATCGGACCATCTTGGCGCCCTGGACGTTTTAGGAGCTCAATGTGAGGCGCAATTTGAACTCTTCAGCTAAAGCTCGTTGTCGGAGCTGGTTCCGAATGCCGAGTATCGTAACTGATACCTTGATCCTTTACCCTGGTGTCCTACTTATGAGGAACAGGTCGCGCTTGGACATTTCCCTATGGGGCAGAAGTCCCGGGGTCGCGGTGCAGGCACCGATATCCCCCTCATGCTGAGTCTTGCGACTAGGAGGAGGAAGGCTCAATCTCTTGCTATTTTCATGGTCAATCTGGTGACCTCTTTTCAATTTGCCTAGGGTTCCCTGTTTATGCAATGCAATTTCCAATTTTCAAGCAGGCGCTTAATCCAATGCTCTTTCCAGATTTATCTCAAGGCTGCTTCTCATGGCTGATCCGGCAGCCTCTTTTCAATAAGGCCACTTCTCATTACCGAGCCGGTGGCCTCTTTTCAATAGGCCACTTCTCATGACCGACCCATTGGTCCATCCTCAATCCTCCATCTTTTCTCACAAGTCATTCCTAATGGTCATCCCAACGATCTTCCTAATCCACATCTTTCTTATTCTGATGCCTGCCTCTTGCGACCAACCCCTCGGTCTTTCCCTTCTCAATTTTTCTCTTTCAATCCTTCTCAAGGATATTTCTTATGACCAAGTCAGAGGCCTTCCCCATTCTCATCCATCTCTTTCAACCTTTCTCATGGCTATTTCAATGACCGATACGACGACCTTTTCCATTCACATCCATCTCTTTCAACCCTCCTCATGGCTATTTCAATGACCAACCCGACGACCTTGTCCATTCTTATCACTCATTCCAGCTCATTCTCAATCAACCTTTATCAAGCAAGCAATCATGCAAGGAGACCCTAGTACCCATTTAAAAATGACCCTTGTCAGGGTCATTTTGCTATTTCAAGTCGAACAATCTGGTTAGGGTCATTCTTTTCCATTCTCAAGTCGAACAACCTGGTTAGGGCCATTCTTTTCCATTCTCAAATCGAACAACCTGGTTAAGGTCATTCTTTTCCATTCTCAAGTCGAACAGCCTGGTTAGGGCCATTCCTTTCCATTATGAAGTCAAACAACCTAGTTAGGGTCATTCCTTTCCATTCTCAATGCTACCGCCCGAGGGGGTGGGACTTGAGAACACGGATCCCATCTTTTACTGGGGGGTAGAAGGTGACCATCTTTACAGTTTTCTGCGTGCTATATCTTTCATCCTTTTCTCAATACAGTTTGCTTGGTTCCAATAGCCTCATTCATACACCCGACTTAGCGTCTAGCACTCAAGCGGAGGCTTTCAACCTCAGGTAGTGCTAGCCCGCCCGGTCCTTCAATCATAGGTCTGAACGCGGGATCCTTCTGTCCTCTTCACTCTTGCTCACTCTCAAAACTTTGTTCCTTGCGACACGACTTTGACTTGGTTGGACTAGGCTCCTAGGGGAGGACATCTTCATGCCGCTCTACCCATAGGTTCCCTAACCTCTCTTGCACTCAACTGATACATAGTGTTTTTGCTTGCTCAATCAATCCAAATTCATAATCTCCATTCCAAATACAATCTTTGTCTCGTCCAGAGTTCTCAATTCAAACATCCCCACTAGTCTCATACCCATGTCCATCGCCAATGCTTGTCACACAGAATCCTTTCAAGGTAGTACATCTAAAAAGTTTTTTCTTGTTCAACGAGGCAGAAATTCTGACTAGTCCTCGTCCCGCTCACTCAAAACAAGCTTATTCATACTAGCCAAGTTCTACTACCTCAAATTGCGAATCACAAACCTTTGTCAAAATGCCCATTACGCCTAATCTCTCTTGTCGCCATTAGCCCTCTACTGCTTGGGGGCTCATTTGTTATCACTTTCAGTTGGTCCCCCTGCTCCTAAACCGGAAGCCAAGATTTCTCTTTTTCTCCTTGCAATCTCTTATAGTTCCTCCTCATTGTAAGAGTCCAAGGGTGTAGCCGCCACCTCGGTCCTCGTCAACTCCCTGGTCTTAATGATCCAGTCATGTTTAATCACATTGATCGATTGTTCAAACCAATGACTGGGTGTTGGGCCAAATCTTCATCCCATTTGTAGGTCCCTTCCTTCGGGCCAGTCGTTGAAGGCTCCCCTTCCTCTCTAGACCTTGATATCTCATCCGTTTAATCCCCTCTACTAAACTTAATGACCTCGTGCACCTCATCCTCACTCTCCTTTTCGCGCACCTCATCCTCACTCTCCTTTTTTTCTTCACGTACGGGGCTGAAGTCGCCCGTAAAGTTTTCAGGATTCAAATTGCAGGGGATGTCCACCCTTCTTTTCATGTATCCTCTTTCACAACTACCATGCCCGCTTCGTTCGTCTCCCTCACTTCTCTCGCAATCGACGTGCGTACTCTGTCTTTGTTCCTCCATTCCTCACAACTGTTATGCTTACGTTGTCTTTCCTCGACACCTCTCTCTCCACTGTCCTGCACACTTTGCCTCTCTTCGTTCCTTCTATCACCATTGTCATGCACATTGTCTTTTTTCATTACTTCCCTCCTCCACTCTTTGCTCCTCCCTTTCCTCCTAAGACAAGGGCTGCAACCTCTCTTACTGGCCATAAGCTTTTGCTTTATCCTCCCTAGTGTCCGTCTCGGCTGTGGCCCAATAAACAGTACCGGTCTTTGTCTGTCTCATGGCCTCTCGGGCCTTTGCCATTCGTCTTCAAAGGGCGTGTTAGCGCGGTTGACATCATTCTCGTTATTGAGTTCCATCTTGTCTTGAACTTCCCCTGAGACTATCATCACAAGGAAAACGGAATCCACAGTCCATATCCCCAAGGCGGAGCCCCGTCCAAGCAGTAGCAAAAACAAAATCTCGTTTCCTTATAGTAGCAGCTTTTCCCCAGTTTCCAAGGATGCACCGCTTGCCCCAGTTCCCCTCATGCACAACCATGTCATGAATCGTTCCGCGTTTCCCACTCGAATCCCATCCATCCTTCTCAAAAGCTATGATACATTGCCCCAGCCAACCATCCCGATACCATCCATTCCTCACAAAAACTATGGTACAATGCCCCAGGCGTTCATCCCAATATCATCCATCCCTCAAAAACGATGGTACAATGCTCCAAGCGCCCCAGCCGCATTACTCAACCCATGCAATCCGCCCCCATAAGCATAGTATAAAAAACATCCCGAGGAAAGACAAAACACATCATAGGTAAGATCTTTGTTGGCGCCTCAGCTGACCTGTTCCCCGGTTTCCTTGTCCTGAGCCTCTTGCAACCACTGTTCCACTAAATCCCGACTTAGAAACTTGATCAGTCGCTGTCTTGGAAATGGTCCTTTCATCCTGGTCCCGTCCAAATCTTTTAATTCAAAAGTGTTCATCCCCAACCTCTTGGTGACCCGGTAGGGGCCTTTGAACCTTTTTCCCAGCTGTCTTGACCAACTGCTCTCTAGTGCCGAATTCCTAACTAGGACTATTTCCCCACCTGAAGTGGTACTTTCCTGATGTTCTTCAGCTGATCCCACCTTGCCTTGACTTTCATTCTGCTATCCAAAACCCGGCTCACTACTACTTCCATTGCCTCCTCATTTTGAACAATCAGCTGACATCTAGCCTCGATTAATTGTTCCATCGTGAAGCGCGGGTCATCATCCAACCTGAAGTTGGTACTAGGGCTTCCACTGGAAAGTCGATTTCCCTCTCGTACCACAACTCGACTGGGATGCAACCTGCAGTTCTCTTTGGCGTCACGTTTTTTTTGTGAAAACGGCCTGCTTGAGGTACTTGGGCAAATTGCGCAGATCGTCTGCTGATAACTTTGCAATCGTATTTTCAAGGTTCGGTGTTCTCTTTCCACGGACGCATTAGCCTCCGAGTGGTATGGCTGAATTAGCTTGATGGGCACCCCAAGTCTTTTGCAGGTGCTCAACACCTCTTGATTTACGAACTATGTCTCATTATCAACTATAAAGGTGCCTTAGGTAGAAGTCCTCAATCTAGTCTGCCACTACTAATCCGATTTTCTTCTTAAGAGCTACTGCCTCCGCAAACCCACAAAGATTATCTCTAGCGTCAAGTATGTACCGGCATCCTTTCGTAGATACAGGCATGACCACAAGATCGAGATGAGCCAGATGTCCTGGTCCTAGCACGCGCGTGGGTCTCAACGGTTCAAAAACCCGGGCCGTACTCCGCTCTTGACAGAAGGCAATCATACTCCCCATTCCTGGCCAGAAACAGAGTGGCGATATTTTCGCCCGCGTCCCCTTCGAGGAGCGATGTCCCCCTGCCAATCCATCATTGCTTGAATTATATCCACCTGTGTGGGTTGACACACACAACCCTTCTAGGCATTAGGCCTTCCTCCTTCCTAAATAGATGCCCATTCTTCAATACATACTTATCGGCCTCTTCTCTGGCCTTAAGGCTGACCTCCTCTGCCTCCTTGTTTCCTATTAGCAATAGACCGATATCCTTGAATATCCCATCGTACATGCAATTGAGGAAGAATTCCTTCCGATCCTGCTGATCCTCCCGTTCATTCTACACTTGGTTTACTAAGTACTATTACCGCTTTTGTTCCCAAGACTCAACCAAACTCGTAACCGTTTCTCGTCCCCCTTCTACAGCCATTGCCATCAGCTCTTTATGAGGCCCCACAATGTCACCCCATGAGGAGTCCTCTTCCTTCCGGCCGGTCCTTGTAACTACTCCCTCCCTAAGTTTTGCCACCACAACAGGAGACCCTTTCTCCAATGCCTTAATCAATAATTCCCCGGATATACAGGCAGACTCTACCATCTCGTTGTCTATCACAAGGGTCCCTCCCTCATAGTCAAGGAACGCATTGATAGGTTCCATGTACTCTACTCCCTCCAGTGTAATGCAAACCCTGCTCAAGCCATCAGCCCTATTCCGAAGACCGACTATGCGCTCGATCTTGTAATCAAACTGCCAAATGAACCCAACCCATCTTCCGACGGTAGGGTCTATAGGCTTGTAGTTCTTCGACGCCCCTGCGACGTTTGTTGGGTTGATCCTCAAGATGAACCTCCTTCCAAAGAGGTTTGAATGGTCTTGAGACAGTGGAGAACGACCAGTACCTCCTTTCTGAGTTGAGAGTAGCGACGTTCAACTGAGTCCAGCGCCCTGCTCTCAAATCTGATTGGTTGTTCTCTCTCATCTTCCCCTCTTTGGATCAGGCCTCCTCCAACGGCGAGTGGCCCCCCATCAATACAAGTGGACGCCCTACCTCATCGTTAAAACACAGAGCGTCGAGGGTGACTTGCTCGGACGCCAATATATCTTTTAGTGCCTGGACGGCGGCTTCTCTCTCCTCCGTCCAGTCCAATGCTCCTTCGCGAATCATAGCCCGAATGGGTTCTGCTATCTTCGCGAAACCTTTGATGAAAATCCTCCAAAATCCTACGACCCCTAAGAAGCCCTTACTTCCGTTGTGGTTCGTAGAGGCGTTGGCCATTGGGAGATTTTATCAGTCTTGGCCAGGTCGGGCTTCCTCCCATATAACCCGCAACTAAACCCCAGGATGGTCACTTCCGAAACTGCCAGCATACTCTTGGGACCGCTAGCAGTGATATTGTACACCAGGAACCTGCAGAGAAGCTCCTTGGTATCCTGGAAGTGGTCCCACAAAAATCTTTGTATTCCGGGCTGAATTTCTATTTTATCCTTGTCCCGTGCGCCCTTGGTCGAATTGTCGTCAATGCAAGGTTTGCATTTTGCAGGGAACATGTCTCCCGCAACTGCGAGCATTCTCCTTTGTGCTTCCGCCACGGCATTGGTGAAGCCCATACGAGTCACTTGCATTTGTAGTTGGCCTACCGAGGTATGCATGGCCGTGAAAGGTCTATCCCGGACGTCCAGCGGAAGCTGATCGTATCCAGAATAGAGGTCTACCAACGAGTAAATGCTTCGTCCGACGTGGGATTCTGTCAGCAGGTCTGCTTGAGGCAACGACCCCTCGTCCCGGATGGTGACAACGTTCAGTTTCTGCAGATCCTGGATCCACTTAAGCGACTTGTTACGCTTCCGGAACACAAACCATCTCTTCGCGTACGACGATGTGGTGGGTTCTGCCGCGAAGGAATCCATCTTTGCTCTAAGCAATTCTCTCACTTCCTCTGCTACTCCGAAATCGTAGGCAGGGCCCTTGTCGTTCCAACATTCATGCTCAATTGTGTGGATCCTGAACGGAGGTATCAACTTTGCGTCTAATCGTCTCTTCGGATGGTCATTGAAGGCGACCGCTAGGTGGAATTCTTGACATGCTTCCCCTAATCAAGCGTGTTTCCTGCTCTGTCAAGAATCCCTCCACCCCTATCTTCATGGTCTCGGCCTTCATTCGGTATTCGGTGCCCTTCAGATACCCTTCTCGCTTTGATCACCTGAAGAACTTCCTCTCTCTCCATGGCCTCTTCCTTTGTTGTCTCTAGCAAAATCGAGACAGGCTTAGCCTTCTTTTCTACTGGCTTGTACTTGTGAACGCTTCCTTCCAGAATTTTTCTCCTAAAAAATGAACTGTCGGAATCGCCCGTGGTCCTCCGATAATCCGAGGCTGGATACTCGTCAATTTCCCATTCAGGCAGTAGCTTTTTCGGACTTATCCCTCAAACCTGGCGAAAGCAATTGGATCCACGCCTACCTTATGGTACCTAATGGCTTTGACAACGTGCCGTAAGTCGGGGACTTCAAGTGTTATCCCGGACTCCTCATCTCGGGCCTCCTTCGATCTAGGAAAGCTGACTCCCAATCCGACCTCTGTTTCTTTCTTTACTACCATAACCCCCAAGGCATCCTCTTCCCATTTCCACTTTTTCTGTGGTAATCCCATCTTCACCCATTCTTTCTTGTTGAATGCTTCTTCGATCATAATGTCTACCCTTTCTCTCATTCCTTCCATTCGTGCGAAGGCCCCCTTTACAGCACTTTGCTCGAACGAAGCTGACCATGTTGCTAGTTTCCCCTTTGGTGTGTCACCCCTGTCTCGATGAGACGAAGCAACTCGCCACATCCCGTCATCGAGTCTTGTATGTCTATCATGTATGTCCCATCATGCAGGTGCATCCCTATCATCTCCACATTTGCGCACCAAGGTCTCCCAAGGATTATGTCATGGCCTCGCCTGCCCCACGGATGCTTCCAGTTGTCTCCTTGTTTACTGTGCATCCCGTAATCTTTGCAAAGTCCCTCCTAATCATTGTGATCTCAACCCCTCGGTCTACCAACGCATCGGTGTGGTGCCTTCTGATTTGGACTTTTAACTTGCCCAATGGTTGTGCATGAAAACTAAGTTTTATCCCTCATAACATGCCACCTTCGCGGTCTGGCAGGCTTAGCCAATGTCTGCGAAGGCTTTATCTAGGTCTTCTAGGTCCCCGGGAATCCTTTGGAGGTTAGCGACTTCTCGCGGTGCCTCCCTTTCCTTCTCTTCTTCCTGTCGTTCTGACCCTTCTTCTATCTCAACTTTTCGCCTCGTCAGTAGCTGCCTAAGGCCTTTCAAGAATCTAGGACTTGCTTGTAGCATGGTTTGAAACGAGACCGACACCATCGTCCCTAGCAGCTTGCTAAGGGTGTCATCGATCTCGGGCATAGTCAAGATAGGAATCGGATACCGGAACCTCTTTTTGGCCGAGGTTGCTTTGTCTATCGGAGCCTCTTCTCTAGGTTTCCCGCAAACCTTCTCTTGTTCCTGTGCCTCCGTTTTTTGTGGCGCTCCCGAGCCATCCCCTGCATCTTCCATAAGTAGGTCATGTACGACATTCCTTTCTGCTGTTCGCTGCCTGGTGGTCACGTTCGCCCTATCTCGCCCTCATTTTCGAAAATAAAGTTGGCACGCGGCTCGCGTCCTCACGCCTGTTCCAAAGCGAGTTCCGCCACTGGCTCAACTTCTACTGTGGCGACATTAAGGTTGTTGAGCGCAATTATGGCCCGACGCATCCCTCCCGGGGAGTTCCAATTCACTTTCTCTCCTCGGGGACCTATGATTTCTCCTCCTAGCATCCTAGAGCACCTTTTGTGCATGATATCATGGTTGAGCCTTGGACATGTTCGCACAAAGTATCCGATCAACGTACAATATTTGCATTGTTCACTCACTGGTCGGATCTCTCGTATTGACCCTCGATTAGCTATTCCCGTTGGAGCCACAACTTCTTGTGGTGGGAGGGGGAGTCAAGCCGCCTGGGTTTACGTCACTTGGGCTTCCATCACCATTAGCGTGTTTTCCACTCTTTCGATCTTGCCATCTACTCCGTGGACGCCTTATCTCCTGTTTTCCCGGTTGAGTCTATGACCTCTCCTTCCTTCAACAGGGTCAACGAGTTGGTAACGACCATCTTCTCAACAATGTCTGTTACGGTACTAAAGTCGACGTCCCGTGTATTCATAAACTTCGCGATCTGTTGATCGGCCGATAGGATCTTATCTTTATCGAACTAGGTAAATTGCCCGAGGAAGTACTTACTTATTATACGGTCAGTTACCCTTGGGATTCGCAACGCCACAAATTAAATTCCCTCAAGAAATCGTTGTATGTTGCAAAGTTCTTTCTTTGCACCGCAACTAGCGCTATCTCCGTAGCCATTTTCTCGGCTGCCAAGTATTTCCTCATCGTTACGTCTCGAGCCTTTTTCCAGAATCCGCTGGTGGCGACGATAGCCATTGTCCCTTCCTAGGCTCAGTGACACATGCCGCCTTAGGTGCTCCATCTTCTCTTCCTCACTCCATCTTAGTAATGCTCCCAAGTTCTCGTAGTCTATCAGGAACTTTATGATATTCACCCCACCGAACGTTAGCCTCTTCTTGGCATCGGTCAGGTACCTCTGATTTTTATTTAGTGCGCGCGTGAGGGAAAACACCATCATTCTAAGTCCCCCCTCGGTTCCTCCTATTCCACCGATGGTGCCGGAGCCTCGTTCTTGCTTACCAGCTTCCACCCCTTCTCCAACCTTCATCGTCCCTTCCGGGTCGAACCAGCCTAGCACCCTCTCTCTCAAGCTCCGAAGTCCTTCGCATCCTTTTGCAATACAAGAGAGGTCACTGCTCGACTTGTCCCGCTGTCTATAGCAGGTGGGTTGGTGGCTTTTTCTGTGGAGATTTCGTGCTCTTTTTCCCTTTCTTAGTCGGTGTCTCCCTGTGCTGCCTAGTCCTATCTTTCCTCCTTTGTATAACATCATCTCAACTCCCTCGCTTTTGGTTTGCCTCTTGTTCCTCGTGCGGTCTTTCTTTGGCGAAGTCCCCCTTGCTTTCATTCATCATCTCTTCCATCAACTTTGCCTTGTATTCTGTCGTCCTTCTTTCTATCTCGGCTAATTTCTTTTGGGCGTCCGTTAGTCTTACCTTTTTTGACAGTGCGCCTTCCGATGTTTGTGACCCTGGGCTGCCTTTATCCCTATCCCTCCTAGTTACCTGAGTTCTTTGTTTGCTTCCTCCAACTTTCCGTGAGCTTTCCCCGGTTGCAGCTTCCTTCCTTCCTTCCTTGGGACCTTCCGGATTTGTCGACTCTTGGTCCCTCACGGTCCCCTCGTTCTGTTCTGCATCCTTCTTTATGCTCTGACTCCCCTTGCTTCCTAGACTCCCTGCTTCTTCCTCAGTCGCCATCCTTCTCTAATCCTTAACCTAGGGAAAAAAGAATTCCTGGAATGGCAGGTCGTCTAAAATTCTTCGGATTTCCAGGTCCCAAGGCTCACTGTCGGTTTCATAGTCTCTCCACCTTTGCCATTTTAATATTTCTATGTTTACGGTGGTCGTAATACGTCCGCCCTCCTTTCTCGGTTTGAGGGGTATCGCTCGCCTTTCCTGTCGGAAAGCTTACCGCTATGGGTCGGCGTTTTGACACCACCGCGCATCGGATCTAAGGCAGCATGTCCATGGCGGCGTGGGTCCCTCTTTTGGAGATTACCTTTTTCCTTTCCTGCTTTTGGACACCTCTAGCGCCCTCGGTGGTAGCGGCCATCCTGGTCATATTTTGATGCACCCTTAGATAAAGTAGGACTCCAACCGCTATCTTCCGCAGATTGCTATTCTCGCTCTTGTTTAGCAATTTATTGCCAATATATTCTCTCATTAGGCAACCTTCCCGTGAATTTCTTTCACCGGTTCCTCAGGTTCATCCTCTTCGGCAGGCTCTTCGAACAGACCAGCCACCCCTGCCAGATAGTTCTCCCCATTCCTATTTCCCTAATAATTGTCGGCTCATATTCTTCATAAGCCAGACGTGGCGCCCTGAATATCAAAATCTCAATGAGTTCTAGCAATTCCTGGGCCCGATTCCCCCAAAACGGCCCATGTTTTACCGACACATCGTAAAACATTCCCGTCGTCTGCGGTTGGAAATGGTGTATCCAAATAAGGTTGCATTCACCAGGTCCCTTGCCCTCACGTGGCTCCTGAATACCAGGCCTATCATGAAATGGGGTACTCGACACCGCAATCCTGTCATTGGCACTCTAAACTTTCGCCATCCTATTTCTTCCACCCCAGTTACATTCCTCCTTCCCCGAATTTCTTGGCTTATCCGGTTCAATGCCCTAGCTGCTCTCCGAAAGATTGGCAGCAGCCCATTCCCTAGTGCCATCTCGGTCCCTAGCATGTGCCACCTAGTCTCATGTAGATACATGGTTCCAGTCACCCTCAAGTCGGTGTACAGATCATCTCTTGGCCCCCTATTGAATCTCATGCCACTCCATAAGCATTCCACCATCATAATTTTTTTTTGTTCCGTCCCAAGGTCACAACTCGCCATTCCACGTCGATCCCTCGAACCACGTAGCTTGCTGGGAATGACACTTCCCATCCATTACCGCTCTCCATGGGCGGTCGCAGGTGCGTGGGTCCTCACGACGTTCGGGTGCGCCTCATTGCCATCGCCGGTTGGCGGATTCCTGCATGGTTTAGACAAAGTAAATACCTCATATTCCTTCCATAGCCCCAGACATTGCTAGTTGTCCTCCTGCTTCCTACCCCGTCCTTTCCATCACTCTTGTTTTTCTCTTCCTTTCTATTGGGCTGCCTCCTCCTCTGGAAGCTCGAATAAACAACAGAGGTCGTCTATGTACGTCATTCCACGACTAATGACTCCCCACATAGTTTCGTCACTTCCTAGCAACGTCCTTGGTCTAGTCGTTACGGCCGCACGCAAAACGCATAACACTTCATATCCCTGGTCTTCCTCAAACGGCCCCATCTCTAGAAAGGCCCGGTAGTATTCTTGATACACCTAGGTTTCCTCGAAGCTTAGCCTAGCTAGTGCAGCTACTGCCCACTAAGAGAGGAAGTCTCATTCGTACGATTTCGTTTGACAGGGTAAAATTTCCTGCCATGTCGGTTCTTACTTCAGTCGTGACGTCCTCCCGCTCCGGATCCCTGAATTCATACCCCTCTCGCCAGGTTATCAGCCAAGCCCCTTCTAGCATTCGCACGTGGTCGCCCCCGGATGCCAGGGTGATTCCAAAGGTGCGCCACCCTTCTTCCGATAGGTACAACGAACCCGTCGCATGTACGCATCCGGAGGTCCAAGTTCACGCCCCCGAACTCCCCTCTTGCACACCATTCCAATTCCACCACTAGATATACTGTCTTCCACCAACTCTACTCCTACCCAATCCATTACCGGGTTGCCTACCCCATTCCTTGCCGGCATACTTATCTCAACCCTGCCATCTATCTCGCTTGGTGGCAAAATCCCACGGGTCTATCTTCCCGAAGTGTCACTCTTCGAGCCATCCCGCACGTCTCCCCTCTCACTTACTTCCGGTCGCCTGCTGCATCCACCGAGATTCCGTGTTTTGCTAGTTTACTTTCCCCCATTCTGTGGCGCAACCTTCTTCCTATATACACTTGCTCTTGGTGTTGATCCTCCCCCATACATACCCTGCTTCTTTTCTTATTTGTCCGTCGTCGGCGTTCTTTCTGCCTATGCACTATCCTTCAAACTAAACCAATAAGACTTCGAACAGTAGGAATACCTCGCCTACATATGAGGGGGTCGTTGCCACCTCGCAACGAAGTATCGCGTCCTCGACTATGGCGTCCACCTTCATCCGGTCGTCCTTAATAACCTTCAGGATGTCGACGACCTCTTCTGCTCTATCCCCATGGAACGGTCCTACTTCTAGCGAGATCTTATCGTAGGCGTCGACCAGCCATGAGAAGCCCAGGTCTACTTCGTCTAAGGCTTCCGCCACCACGAGGATGTGTTCATATCCACCGAACCAATCCGCCACAAAATGCGGCACCCAGACCTGCACTAACTGGCACAGTAGCCCTAAACTCCTGCCATCCTCCTATTACGACCCTATTGCTTACTTCATCTCACCCTTCGTTAACGAATTCGTAGCCAATATGGCAAGTCCATTGCTCGCCTTCCCCTAAGATCCACATCGAGTTTTGCCCGGACGCCAGCGTTACGTAGAATAGATGCCAGCCTTTATTTGATAAGTACATCGTCCCGAGGGATTCCACGTTCCATTCGGCCACATCGTCCCATCCTTTTTCTTCTCTCAACGGGTTCCATACCCTTTCTACCCATAGAAATAATAGTTCCGCTGCTATCCCTTCTCCTATCTAGTCATAGGTCGTTCCACTCCATTCATTTCTCGTCGACAGAGTCATATTTATTCCATTTTCGAGTCGCCTTGGTTCCCACCCCCTAAACACTCGATTGTTTTAGCATTGTTCCCCAGCCATGCTTGTTCCCTGCACAACGCCGACCACCCTTATCATTTCTACCCCACGGACCCGTTCCTCAAAAGTCTCAGTCCTCAATTGTATCATCTCCCTCCTCATCGGTGAGATCGTCCTCTTCCACATACCATAGGTCCTCCAGCCCGTCCAAGAACTTCTCCCCTACTGCTACATTCTTGTAGATTATTTTCCAATGGACGGGGCTTCGGACAAACACCTCATCCGTGCTGAGACAGTTTAATATCTCGGCTAACTCCCTTGGCCCCCTTCAAAGGGCCCCATTTCGACAGATAGACGGAAGAAGTCCTATCGGACGCGTTGGTACAGCCCAAGGTTCGTCACGGACTGACATTTCCGCACCAGCCTACTCCGGGCCCCGAAGACTGCGTCCACTAAGAACGGAGGCACGGTACACCTCATCGTCTTGAGTGGCCGCCTAACGTTTCCTCTATCCCCGAGTTCCCCCCGCACAACTATCTTGACCATTTTCATCTGTTCTCGCTGACATGCCGCCCACACTACTTCCCGTTCCGCCCGTCTAAACAACTTGTACGGGACTACCCCTAATGCCAAATCCACAACCATTGCGTTCTCTCCTTCCTTGGCGGTCATTGGCTAGGGCGAGCGACCGTACTTTTTTGTTGTTTCCTGCTGATAACCTACTTGTCCCAATGTATGGAATTCGCTTAGAAATCTAAGCGAAGGAGGACTTCGTACTTCGTACCTTCCGAACACACATGAGAGTAATTAAATAACAAACAAGATATATAAACTCTAAAGAATCATCATTCACAGGACCTCCACCATCCCCTGAAATTCCAAATACGTCAAGCTCGGCGTTAGCCGGGTTAGGCTGACCTTGGTCCACAACGTTTCTATCCAAAGGCGTCCCCTTCCCCCAACATCACAGTTGGGATACTGACTGTAGATCTGTCCAGGTCCCTTTTTCCGATAGAACGACAGATACCCCGACCTTCACACCTATTGGCATTTCCGGTCCGTTGGAATAGATTGGGGACGATAGCCACTGCGCCATCTTGATTCCAGCACCCGATCCCTTTCTTTTCAGAACCAAGCACCGACCCCGTTCTTGGGTCCGATCAGCCTACATCCTGGATGAGAATATTTCAGACCCCTCATCAAGGTCTAGCCTCGTTTACCTCCCCATTCTCAAGTTCTAACCTCCCTCGGATACCTCTGAACGACCCCCCTTTCACCCAAACTCATTTTCTTGGTTCCTTTCAAGGCTGACCTCTATTTCTTCCTCTCATGGTCTTCACTCACTCGTGCGGACTTAGGTAGGAGGTGGGAATAGACTAGACC